GATGAATTTGTAAAGGTCATCAATTGGAATAAAGTGACATCTAAAACAACACTAATCCAAGAATTAAAAAAAGCTGTGAAAAAAATTCGAAAAGATGTTGTGTTTGAAAGTTGTAATTCTTTGACGAATCGATTGTATCGTATGGCTCAACATGATAGAGATTATTGAAGATAATAAAAATATATAGGTTTTGTAGAGAATTTAACGACGAATCTTTGGATAAAAAAACTTTTTCGTATGCATTGAGATATGAGTGAAATATATGGAAAATACGGAGAGGTTCATTTATTCTTTGACACCCGTTATGATAGAATATCATTCTATTAAAACAAAATGAAATAAAAATGAGGAAAAGCAATTTATTTTTAAATCAAAACGAAATTTTATAAAGATAAATGTATAATTAATCAAATAATTTGAGTCATGTTGTATCAGATTGAGTCTGTGTTGCAGAATCACATTGTAGAAGTGTGTTTGGTTTAAACTTTTTTGTAGATGACTCGTCTTCGTCTTCGTCATCGTCATCCTCATCGGAAGAATGAAGACGAATTTTATTGATTCGATAATTGTGTCCTTTCCGATGTTCATGTTCTCCAAGAAATGCAACCATTTCATCGATCAAACCAGATTGAAGTAAACGGTGAAAGTCATTATTATTTGGAAGACAATGATGTTTCTGCAATATTCAATTCTGATATTCTTCTTTTGTTGCACCTAATGGAATTCGACTATTGACGATTTCTGTTGCTGATAATGACGAGTGAGATGCTGAAGCCATTTCGTACAATCTGAAAAATACAACGAAGATATGTGGCACTTACTTTATAGAATAATGAGAAAAAAGTGAATGTATTAATGTAAACGCCCTCGGTATAAATAGTTTTGTAGAGAAGATGGACTTTGATCTTAGACTGTGAATGAATCTTTGTCGATTGCATTTTTCTAATGGTTTATGTGAGAGAATGTTATGAGAACGTAGTTCTAGGTATGTCCTTGCAGTGCAAAATTAGATGAAACCACTCTTTCTAAAGTAAAAGACTGTGAGCCCTAGAAATACGATTATCTTTCATCACAGAATATGTAACACTTCACAGTGATAATCGTTTTGAAAAGAGACTGATAATACATCTCTATTTCGTTTCAATTCAAGTATTCAAAGACAAGAGTAGCTTCAGTACTAGCCACTATTATGCATTTGCACTAACTTTCACATTTTCATCAGATAACTTGCATTTCAATATAATTTAACTTTAGATTTAGTTATCAAGTTAGTTTAATCTGTACGAATATGAACTTGATGAAAATAATGGATTTGTCTCAAGAGCGAATAGCAATGAAGAATGACAGTTGTTTTATAAGTATTAGCAAACATATATACATGTTTAAAATTATGAAGACGATAAACTTTGGTCACGTACAAGTTAAATCATATATTGTATAGTTTTGTAGGTAGAAAAGAAATGTATTATTCGAGTCAGAAATAATCTGGTAAAGAATGTTGAGAAAGAAAGAAAGAAAAGGAAAAGAAAGAGTCATTTTGTCAGTTCGTTCTCATCATTGTTCTCGAAGATAATGCCAAAAGTAAACAGATGTCCTCGCCACCGTGCTGCATCATCAGCTAGTTCAACAACTAGCAACAATAATGCTACTACTGAAAGAGGAGCATCGAATGATGTCCCTTATAAGAAGATTTCTGTCGATCAAGACTGCTGATGGTTAAACCAGCAGTATTCGTTTACATATTAGTAAACGAGGAACACTTGACCCTCCACCATCACCATCACCAACAGCAACTGCTCAGAATAATGAGCACAATATACAACGGGTCACAACCGTCGTCATCAACGATGACTGTGCTGGTCTGACAGTCGATGTTACATCGACCAAAAGTGATAATGATGCGTGCAACATCATTATCACAAATAGCTGTAATTGACTTGGTTCATTTTTTTTCGCCTTTTTCTTATCATAGAATACAAATATTCTAATTCTGTTTTTTTTTGTTTCTTACAATTCTGGAATAAACGTGTTTCGTTCCTTAGTACCACTGAATCACACATTTGAGTTGATGCTAATGTTTTGCAAGTGTTGTCTTGAACAATTATTGACTAATACTTAATTACAATCAAATCATGAAAATTTTCACAGTAAACGACATAAAAACAAAAGAGCCACTATTAGTAGTACAGGGTGGCCCATAAGTAATTCGGCGATAAGAAATTTAAGTATCTCCGTCATATGTCGATCAATCGGGCGGAGATTTTTACCAGTGATAGAGGCTTACTTAAAGTTTTTTTTTGATAGGAACTACGTAACGAGATCAATGTTCTTATGTGTCAAGAGAACATCAATACGAATTTTCTACTTGTTAAGAGTTATATGTAATGTAATAGCATAATTTGAAATCGTTTTTTAAGCTTTTTTTTCTCTATCTATTCATACTTTCTTATACACATAAAATAACATTTTTTGGTCAAGAAAGTCGATATATTCATAAATTTTAGATTCAGCATAGCACATGGCTCGACGTCAATTGAGTGTGAATGAGAAGACATGAATTATTAAACATATGTATCGTCTTGAATATCCAATAAATGTTCAAAGATTATGGCGCAAGGAAATAAATAATAATCCCCCACATCGTGATACGATAAGAGTATTGATGGAAAATTGTGAACAAACTGGTTCTGTACTCGATATTGATCCACCTGGTAGACCCCCATAAAAGTTTCGTCGGCTTTGCAAAAATAACCTCGAACGTCGATTCGTAAAATGAGTGCAGATTCAGATATTTCAAGAACTTCAGTTCGACGTATTTACAAGCCTCTGAGCTTTAAGCCGTACGTTCCAAGATTAGTTCAAGAACTCAATGAAGATGATTTCGATCGACGAATCGAATATTGTGAAACATTTTTATCGCTCCTCGAAACCGAACCAGATCTTATTCATCATATCGTTTGGTCTGATGAAGCTTTATTTAAACTCAATGGACATATTACTCTTCATAATTCTGTCTATTGAGTAATACAAAACCCAAATCTTACATGGGAGCAAACTATGCAAGCTGAAAGTGTTACTGTATGGGCTGATCTATCCTCTCAAGGTGTAATGGGGCCTTATTTCTTCGATGGCACGGTGACTAGTCAAAATTATATGGAAATGTTGAGCGATTATCTGAAAGATATTGCTTATCAAAAGAAGCACCGAACCTTATCCAGTCTCAAACAATCAATTACTTCAGCTTTTTCGGCAATAGATTCTGATCTGTGCAAGAAAGTTTGTGAATCAGTATCAGAAAGACTTCAAAAGTGCATCGATGCTGATGGGCGTCAATTCGAACATTTATATTAATTTTTGTTCTATAATCTCAGTTTGTATTTACTGTGATTAATATAATAAACTTTCTTTTGATCTTCTCATATCGCTATCTAGAGAAGAAAGTCTTGAAAAATGCGTTTAAGTCACTTTCGAATATTGTATAGGACCTGTAGCAAGTAAAAAATCCTTGCTGACATTGGTCTTAATATATAGGACAATAATTTGTTCATGATTTCTTTATAAAAAAAAAAACTTTAAGTAAGCCTCTATCGCTGGTAAAAATTTCAGCCCAATTGATCGACATATGGCGGAGATATTTAAATTTCTTATCGCCGGGTTACTTATGGATCACTCTGTAAATGACATGGAGAAAGCGTGTTTAAAATCTATTTTTGCTATAGATCCACATCTTACAGTTTATTTTTAAGCGTATCTTTTACAGATGACGATGTTTAGACTATTGATTAAATGCGATCTTGGTGAAATGAATGTTTATCGTGACTGTGGAGAAAAAGAAGTAGAGTATCCAAAATTGCTTCTCATATTTCCAATAGCTTCTTCTACCATGCTAACGTTTGAGTGATTTTGTGATAAATTTTCTGTCCATATACTTCGAGCTTTGTTATAAAATGATAGAGCCTGTGAATAATCACCAGTTATATCATATACTTGACCAATATTATAGTATGATCCAGCTAGATCAGAATGATTTGAAGATAGAGTTGATTTTTTGATTTCAAGTCCTTGTTTAAAATATGCTAATGCTTTTGAATGTTCTCCCATGTCAGCATACACAGCACCAATACCGTCATATGAAGCAGCAGAACTTGGATGATTTGATGAAAATGCAGTTTCTTGAATTTTTATTGCTTGTTGATAGTATGAAAGAGCATCCAGGTGACGTTCCACGTTACGGTACGCTTCACCCATATTGTGATATGTTGTAGCCAAATCTGGATGATTTGGTCCAAGAGTTCTTTTTTGAATTTCAACTGCATGATGATAGTATGGTAATGCTTCGGAATATTTTCCGATATCAGCATACACTAAACCAATATTATTGTACGATCCAGCTATATGATCATGATTTGGAGAAAGATGTATTTTCTGAATTTTCAAAGCTTTATCATAAAATGAAAGTGCTGTATTATATTCTTTCAATTGTGCATATACATTAGCGATCGTCGTATACGAAGAAGCTAGATCAAGATGATTTTGAGGAAGATGTTGTTCTTGAATTCCAATCGCATTTTTACAGTACTTAAGAGCTTTGCTATTGTCACGCAGATTATAGTACAGATTACCAATGTTGTTATACAAAATACCTAAAGAATGATAACGCACGGGTACACATGTTTTTTGAGCCTCAAGTGCTTGTTCATAGAACGAAAGTGATTTTTTATAATCACCCATAATACTGTAAACATTACCAAGACTTGAATATAAATCGGACAGTTCTCTAACATCCATCGGCAGTTCTATATGGTGAATTTCAAGTGATTTTTCATAGTAAGATAACGCTTCGGAATATCTTCCACGTGCTCTATAAACATTTCCGATATGATGATATATTTTTGCTAAAGATAATTGATTGAGTGATGAATTTATTTTATAAATTTCCAATGCTTTTTCATGATTTGAAAGTGCTTGTGCATATTCTCCCATGACTTTATATACCAATCCAATATTATCGTAAGCATCAGCCGTTTTTGTATGATGATCACCAAAAATCTCCACGTAAATTTCAAGTGATTTATTATAGTATTTTAATGCTTTTGAATATCTTCCCATACTTAAATAGACAGTACCAATATTATTATACGAAGTAGCCGAATCAACATGCATCGATGAAAAAGCTGATTCTTGGATTTCAAGTGCTTTTTTGTGAGTTGAAAGTGCTTCTGTGTATCGTTCGGTTAAACGATATACAATGCCGATACCATTGTATGAAGCAGCCAAAGATGGATGATCATGTGAAAGAGCTTTCTTATTAATTTCAAGTGAATATTCATGATATGAAAGTGCTTTGGAATACTGTTCCATACTACAATATACATTACCGATCTTGTGGTACGAATACGCTAAAGATAAGTGATCCGGTTGGAATATGGTTTTTTGAATCTCAACTGCGTGTTTATGGTTTGAAAGTGCTTCTGTAAAATTTCCCATGTTATGATAAACGATACCAATGTTATTATAAGTATCTGCTAATGAAGGATGATTTTGTAGAAGAGATTTTTGTTTCATTTTCAGTGCTTTATCTAAGTTTGATATTGCTTTACTGTATTCTGCTCGGTTAGAATACATTGCACCCAGATTCGAATAACAAGTAGCAATATCGGGATGGTTTGGACGTAAAACTTGTTCTCGAATTTCAAGTGCTTTTTCATAATTTTTAATGGCATTGTTATATTGTCCTTTGCTATTATAAATCAGTCCAAGTTTCATATAAGAATCAGCTATGTCAGGATGATTTGAAGGAAGCATTTTTTCTTGAATTTTCAACGCTTTTTCACAGTATGAAATAGCTTTCGAATAATTTCCCTTATTATGATAAACTAAGCCAATATTTGCATAAGTAAAAGCGATGCGAGGATGATCCGTATATAAACTTATTTTCTGAATTTCAAGTGCTTTTTTATGATATTCCAATGCTTTTGAATGGTCTCCCTTCATATAATAGACTATACCCATATTACAATATGTACTAGCAAAATGACAATGATTTGGTAGAAGACATTCAGTGCTGATCTTAATTGACTGTTCATACAATGAAATTGCTTTAGAATATTCTACTAGTCCATGATATGCTGAACCAAGTTGATGATTATATCGGGCTTTATCGACATCAGAACAGTTTTCTTTGAGTAATTTGTTATATAATTCCTCAGCTTTCAATGATTCGCCAATCGCAAGAAGTACAATACCAATTCGAATCCATCCTTCTCCACAAAACTCTTCACGCAAATGTGATGTAAGTCTATCCAATGGATTAAAATTATTCCCTACAAGTGTTAATTTCACGTTCCATATTTGACCAACAGGACCATTAGAGTTTGGTTGAATATCATTGATACGAAAGATCGTATGCGTTGAAAATAATATTTCATCTTCAGAATCTCCTATGCGCCCTTCGTTCCCTACTATAGCATATGGAATTGACGATTTCGAACAGATTTCTGGATCTATTGTAATGATGAACAATATACCAACTAAACATCTATTATCTGCATTTGATTCTGCAAAAAATTGTGCCACTCGTTCATCCGCACTGGTCGATAAAAAATTGTTGAAAGACATTAATTTTTCTTTACTATTTTTCAACTTTTCAAAATTAAGTAAAGATAAACCTTGACCACGATAAACCGTAAACTTACTGATCTTCGCTGTTGTTGGATTAGATTGTTGTTCTTGAAATAAACGTTCGATATTTTTATGCAAATCTCGAATATAAAATCCCATTTTTAGTAAAATACTAACATCCATAATACCAAGTGCATAGTTTAACATAGAATAGATCTTAGAATCGGATGAATACCAATATATAGATGTATGATTAAAATATTCTCTTTCAAATTCATTGATTTTCTTTTCATCCATGATTTGTTCCGAACGGCAATATTCAGCAAATTCAGTAACAGATCGGGTAGAATCATCTTGAATTTGAAAAAATGATTCTTTTAATATTTGTGTATACATAAATAATGGATCAAAATAATCGAAGCTCATCGGAACCATATGTCGGTCACAAGATAGACAAGCATCTTTTAAATCTTTATACATTGATTGAATATCCATGTATCCATCTTTCACGCTAAACGGTGTTACAATCGATGGTGTGTGACTTGATATACCATTTGAAAGAATATAAATTGTATCTATTCGACAATAGTTATCAGATCGTAAATTTGCAAAGAATTGTTGAATTGATCTATCAGATACAATGAGAAATACTTTTTCATTTTCTATATTTCTTATAAAATTCACACATTTTTCCACATCAGTAAAAGTCGTAATTGATGTAATTAATTGATGTAATAGTTGTAAAGAATTTTGGAAATATTCACTAGAGTTATCGAGTTGTGTGTCTAACCAAATGAGAATAAAATTTTGGAAGACATGCTGCAAGGATTTCGTTGTCGACATTTTTGAAAATAAAAATGTGTGTGTAGGATATAACGAAGAAAATAAATGTAACATTATCATTGAAAAAAATCTGATTGATTGCTTGATTGATAGGTTTCGTCATCATTATGTTTAATTAAAAATATATGATAGAAAAAAAAGGAAGTATTGGATCATAAATAAGTTCGAAAATGTACTCATATAGTCATTTATTAATATTAAAAGGAATGCTTGAAAAGTGATACAGATATTATTTCTATTGTTATTTTTTCTTAATTGTAGTTGTCGTTAGACTTGGGACTGATCGGATTTCCATATGATGCGTTATAGCGATATCCAGGAAATAGATTTTACACATTAAACAGATAGAATAATTCAACGAAGTATGTTGCTAAAATGGACATACAGGGCATAATTATGAATTTACCATTATTTATCTTGAAAATTTGTTTATTATGAACTTTAGAAATATGGTTTTCATGATGGCTGTATTCGAAAATTTGTCAATTTCAATCCTGGAGATGACGTCCATTATCGAACGAAAGTTGGAGTATGATGATTATTTAGAGTATTCTATTTATCGGGAATAAATTCATCGACAGTTTACATTTGCATATTCGTTTGAAATGAAGGGAGAATTATCATTAGACTTTAGATTCGCTTTGTGTCATAATTGTCTAAAGTATTAACTAATGAGATACATAGTTAGCATTCGAATATAACTACCAACGAAAAAATTAACCGTACACTTGGGTTTTTATCTAAAATATAAAGCTTGTAGTTAGAAGAAATCTTCTTAAATATACGTATATGAATAATATAAGTATAGATGTTCGGAATACAAAGTGAAAAAGTAATCTGAAGAAACAAATTGTTTATATGTCTTTTGAGTCTTTTTAACCCTTTGGCTACCGGCTTTTTTTTGCGAAAATTAAAGGTTTTAACGGTAATATTCGAATGTGTTTTTTTTTGACAAAAAAACTACATTCCTGCTCAAAAAAAGTTAATAGTTTCTCTTTGTATGATAGTTTTTGAAGCAGTCAACCAGGCATAGAGGTGCATCGCAGTCGGAACACATATATTGTGTATCGCGTCGAATACTATGAGATGAGCACACTACACATCTGCGTCGAGGTTTTTCTGCTAGTTGTGATGTTTGTGTGATCAACGATGGAAAATGTCGGGCAGTCAGACGAAGAAGAGAAAGTCTTATGAAAATGTAGCATTCGAAAGAATGTAGGAAAAACTGAAATATAATGGATTCAAAGATGAGAATGAAAAAATGACTATACTAGCACAAATTAGAATAAGCAGGAACATCGATAAAATGTACCTGATTGAAAATATCAACAGAAAGAAAAAATATATTAGTATGATATTATTTAACAAACGATAAGAACCTTTTCTAAACGGCTAAAAAGTATGCAGTTACTACTTTTATTCAATAAATGTGTTCGGACGCATATATGCGTTCCCGGTAGCCAAAGGGTTAATTTAAATTTAAATTATCTGAGATTCAAGCCATGCACTGAAACTTTTTTGAGCGAAATGCGAAACACCCGTCATAGCTGCTCTTCCTTGTATTGCAAGTGATGAAATGCCATTATTTCATGATTTTCATTGATTTTTAGTCTTTTATGACTGAAAGTTTTTGAATTAATTGAAAGAACAGTGCATCTTGTATTAGAATTGGCTTTTATGGATTTATTTCACTATGAATTCATTCTAAGTCAACTTTAATACTTTGAAGCTATCTGATGAGAACTGTAGCGAGTTCGAAACGCGTCACGGCTGCTCTTATCATTAATGACGGTATGTCTGGTATGAATTTTCTATGTTGCTGTTGTCTATGAAAAACCGAAATTTGAGGGTAGTTGGATATTTCTAACTTAGTTGCAACTTCTCTGCAGCTCTCTGACTCGAAAGAATTTTCAAAATTCGTACCAATTTGATATTCGCCACTCGTTGACTATTCTATAACAAAGATTCAAATTTGTACTGACATGAATAGCGAATAAAACTCTCCAATGTTGACTGTTGCGATGTGTGTTTGTTTTGCATCTGCATGCTCCACTTTGTCGCCAAGTGAAATATATTATTTGAAGTGTTTTAATCAAAGAGAGCACACAAAAGAAATCATCGACGTCGTTGCTTCTCTGCAGAAAAAATAAGAGCATTAACATATCTAGTTGTAGTTATTCACATAATATATACAGATTTCTGCGTTTGAAGTAAAAAAATCCGAGAAAGAAAATAAGAGAATATATAAATAATCTGATTTTGCTCTTTTTATCATACTAGTGAAACGGAGTGACACAACCAACGAGTGAATCATAAGTAAGTGTAAATAGCTTTTATGTCTCTTTAACGATCAAGTATAAACATCGTCAAAGTTTTTCTTTCTGCATTACACCACGTGACTGCAAAAAAAATGCACAAACTCTGTTCGTCTTATTCCGTCTGCTGAACGGAGAATTATGCTTTGAGTTGATATACCAGAAGAATGAGTTGATGTTCGTTCATTCTTGTGTTTATATTTATTGCATGAATGAAAATTCATAGTGTGTTTTCGGAAAACTTGACCGAAGGATAATCAAAGTGGAGGAATCCGAATCTGAGATTAGTTTTCACGAACTATGTTGCGCATCAGCGTTTCCAGAAAGAGTCCACATTTCTCGAAAACGATCATATTTTATAAGGTTTGACCGGGCAGTAATCGGGATCGAGGAGCTGAAATCTGGTGTAAACTTGGTTTAACTCTATAAATGAAAAGCGTGATAGCAGTATAGAAGACTGTTTCTATGAAGAAGAGCTGACAGGGATCTTAGATGAGCATTGTTTCTTAATCAATCTTTCCAATAGCGATCAAACGTTGAAAAAATCCAATTAAAGTTATTGTGACGATTTTCGATGGAAGAATGTATGCGCTGACGGAACTACGCCTATATTTTACTTCTTTCTCTTGAATCGCATTATTCTGACACAAAACAATCGTTTATATACTCGTCCATAGAAAAGAAGAAAAGAGAACATCGCGTCAAAGTACATCGATATGTACCGAAGTAACAACATAAATAGGATAATCTATTAGAAGAGGAAAATCAACATGCGTATAGCACATGATAGCGGAGTGTCACAGTTTATATTTGATAGGCTCTTGTCTACGAGAAAGCAAATACTAATGTAATGTAACTTGCAGCAGTTAATCAAATAGTTGTCTTTTTTTCTCAGTTTTTACTGTCGATTGTACGATCAAATGTTTGCAAACATACTTGCAGACTCTTTCGTCACGGCTGAACCTTTTTTTGGGGGGTTTAGTAGAGTACAAGTGTTTGCTTTTGAGTTTATCCTAGGCCCACTAAATGATAAATGTAATGTTTTATGAAAGTTTTAAACGATTCGACTTCTCAGTGAAACTAATTTCCTTCTAAACGATGAAAATAAAAGGAATACTTTTTCTATAAACAATGGTTGAAATATAGGAGGGCTTTTTATAATATACATATGAGATTTATAGATATTCTGATACAACATACAGCGCGCTAAGAAGTACAGTTTCTTGTTAGCCTTCTTGAAATTAAGAAATCTGTGACATAATATATAATCATAAGTCAATTTCTTTCCATAAAAGCCATTCTGGATTTTTTTTTCTTGAAAAGGGCCAGGTAATTCCTCGAATGAGCGTAACCTGCCATTTATTCACTTATGATACATTTGTATAGCTCCTTAGTTGAGTGCATTTACATAACTCTATATACATCAGATGATAACCTGTTCATGAACTAACTTCAAGATTGATACGAAAAACCCGATCCACCCAACACCAGATTTCTAAGAGCGGCGGTGGAAAATTTCAAATCAAGAAAATGTTTGACTTGTCGAGCAAAATCTTACGAAAAAGTTGTTAGACATCATTTACAGGATGTTCCCTTCAGTAGAGAGTTTCGAAACGTTTGCGTTGCGATGATTGAATGAGTGAACAGTATATAGTAAAAGAAAGAAACTGTCTTCTCTTATTAACTCTACTGATGTGAGATCTTCATATGTTCTTCTCACTTGCGCCCATCTTTACTCTAAAGTTTAATGGATTGTTCATCGATGCATTTTATCGTAGATTAGTCGATGGAACTGGATGGGGGAAAGCATGTCATGCTCTCATACAATCACAAAAGTAAGAATGTTGTTGAAGTAGTTTACAATACTATGAAAGCCGAACATATTCCTGTGTGGTTCGACGAGAGAGACATGGATACTAATATGTACGACAGGTATAAATATATTGATGATTTTTTTATTTTCCTTCTCAGTATTTCAGTTGCGCCCTTTAAGTATGGCTGAGGCAGTCAATGATGCTGCAATAGTGTGTTGTTTTATGTCACCGGAATGAGGATTCGAGGAATACTAAATTAGAGCTGGAGCATGCACAACGACTTGGGAAACACATTATCCCATGCATGATGACGAATAGAAAAGTATGGAAGCCGTCTTCCTCGAAATGGCTTGGACTGATTACTGGATCTCTCATAGCTATTGACTTTTCCAACACTTCGGATACGAACGTCCTTATAAAAACAAAAGAGCTTATAGACCGAATAAGAAAAGACTTGTCCACTCATACTACACAATCGATGAAGTTATTCGAACCGATTCGACAAAAGTATCTACAACAAAATCGAATGAAACGGATGGTTAATGAAGAAAAGAGTTTTTCAATTGAGCAGAACTATGTTAATTTGGCGATGGTCGAAACTAAAGAGCAACAAGCAAAAGAGAAGAAACTAAAACGACAAGACGAGCAAAAAGATGCCATTCTCGGAACTTACGAAGAGATCTATGGTATCAAAACACCAGTTGAAGTGAAAAACCTTTTCGAAAAATGTAAAGGTTCGACGAAGAAAGTGCTTGTACTTGGACGAGCTGGAATTGGAAAGTCCACGTTTTGTCAATACGTCACTTATCTCTGGGCGAAAGGTGAACTTTGGTCTCAGTATGATCTAGTCGTTTTGATTCACTTACGAAAAGTGACCGATAGTCGTTATCCATCCACAGAAAACTACGCACCCGTCGATCTCATCAAGATGGAGTATTTTCCTTACGACGATCTATCAAGCGAGCAGAAGGAATGCTTCAAACGACAACTGAATTCAGGCAAAATTCTATGGATATTAGATGGATATGATGAGTTTGTCAATAGCATTTCAGATCAATTAAGAGATGTCTTTGACTATATTCTTGATACACAACATCATATTCTTACGTCTCGTCCTTATGCTATTGCGTTATCATATGATGTAAAAATCGAAATTACAGGCTTTACAGACAATAACATCGTGAAGTACATAGAATATTTCTTCGAACAGATTACAAATGAGATACCAAACGCTCCATTCGAAGGTCAAAAGCTACTCAATTTCCTCAAATCAAACTTCAGTATTTGGGGTATTTCTCATATACCTGTCAACCTAGAACTAATCTGTAGTTTGTGGAGTGATTCGAATTGCTCCAAAAAAAACATACTGACAATGACGACATTGTATGAAAATATAATCGAATGGCTATGCCGACGGCACTTACAAAAGAGAAACATAAACCATACTTCAATGCGGAAAAAGAAGGTCTACGACCTGTGCAGTAAAGAATTGCAGTTCTTAGGAACGTTAGCGTTCAATGCAATGAAATACAATGAAATCGTTTTGTCATCTACACTGCTAGAACAGATCGAGAACGAAACTGCCTGCTACATAGATGATAATCCTCAACTACTCAACTTCGGAATACTCAAATCATACGACGACAAGCCCACTGGTAACCAAATACAAGCAGAAAAAGAGTTTTATTTTCTACATCTTAGCTTCCAAGAATTCTTTGCCGCACGTCACTTACTTCAAAAACTTAAAAACTCAGAGAAACATGAAACAAGCGATTTTATCAATAGCCATAGGTACAATCGACGCTTTCTCTACGTTTTCATTTTTGCAGCAGGTCTTCTCGCTCAATCTGAATATCAGTCATGTATAGAGACATTTTGGGAAGCGATAGAAGAAGAACCCATAGATCTCGTCGGGATAGTTCACATAAAGCTGATTATCGAATGTCTTGATGAGCTTGATGGCCAAATACTCTTTCGACAAAGCGCCATTTACGTAAAATTAATATCACAATGGTTAGATATCTGCATCACAAATAAGACAACCACGATCTCGGATCATCTCTTATACTCATTAGGGCGTACCAATTCATTATGCAATAACTCTATAATACAGAACAAATTTATCGAACTCCTTGATACTGAAGACGACGTCATAAAACGTACTGTGTACCGCTTTATATCACATATAAAAATGCACACTCCACTACCGAAACTAATATCTAAGCTACTTGATACACTTCGCAATAGCAACGATCATTTCCGAAGTTATGCATGTGAAGCGCTTGGAAAGATGGGTGAAAAGGCAGCAACGAACGAAGTGATCACTGCTCTCATAGATACACTTCGAGATGAGGACAAGTATGTTGCGAGCTGCAGTTGCGATGCTCTTGGGAACATATGTGAAAAAGTAGCAAGTGACGAGGCTATCATTGGTCTGATCGGTGCCCTTCATGATGGAAATGATTATCTGAGACGCCGCGCGTGTAGTGCCTTAGGAATGATGGGTCAAAAAGCGGCAACAGAGGATGTCATCGCCACTATAATCGATGCATTTGAAGATGAAAATGAAGATGTCAGAAACTGTGCATGTGAAGCATTCGTAAAGTTAGGTGAAAAATCCGCAACCAAGCAGGTGATCGTTAGTCTGATCGATGCAGTGCAAACTAGAGGCTGGAGCGTCAGAGTCTATGGGTGTATAGTCCTAGAAATGATAGGTGAAAAAGCAGAAACGAAGGAAATTATTGCTGGCTTAATTAATATGCTTCAAGATGAAGATGATAGTATTGCAATATGGGCGTGTGAAGCTCTCCGAAAGTTAGCCGAAGCAGTAGCGACTGATGAGGTTATTGTCAGTCTGATAGATGCACTTAAGAATGAGTACTGGGATGTCAGAAGGTACGCGTGTATTAGCCTTGGAATGATGGGTGAAGCAGCAGCAACAGAGAATGTTATTGTTGCTCTGATGAATGCACTCCAGGATGAAGTGATGGACGTCAGAAGCAGTGCGTTAGAGGCTCTTGGAAAGATGGGCGAAAAAGCAATAATGGAGCCAATAGTCAAAAGTCTGAAAGATGCACTTCGTGACGAATACTGGAATGTTAGAAAGGGTGTATGTGAAGTTTTTGCAATGATGGGTGAAAAAGTGGGAACCAAGGAAATAACAGCTGATCTGATCGATGTACTTCAGGATGAATACGAAGAAGTTAGAAGCTCTGCATGTAAAGCTCTTACAATGATAGGCGAAAAAGCGGCAACAAAGGATGCAATCGCTGCTCTCGTCAATGCACTTCGAGATGAAGATTGCAATGTCAAAAGCTACGCATGTAAAGCCCTTGGGAAAATTAGTAGGAAAACAGTCACGAAGGAAGTTATCAGTGCCCTCATAGATGCACTTCAGAATGACAACTCCTGTGTTAGAAGTAGTGCATGCGAAGCTCTTGGAAATATAGGTGAAAAGGCAGCAACAGACGAAGTGATGGTTAGTTTGGTCGACGCCTTTCAGGATCAGTGTGAAGAGGTCAGAAGTTGTGCATATAAAGCCGTTGGAAATATGGGTGCAAAGGCAATAACAAACGAGGTAATCATTGGTCTGATCAGTGCATTTCAAGATATATTTGCGACTGCGAAAAGTTGCGCATATGAATCGGTTGGAAACATAGGAGCAAAATCGACAACGAGTAAAGTCATTATAGCTTTGGTAAACGCATTTTCTTCGGCTTACATCAAGTCAGATGGTTACCCATTCGCTTCAGCCTTTGAAAAAAGTTTTTGTTCTTATCATGCTATGAAAGAATTAGACTCTGAAATTCTATCAAAGCTGTTTCTGTGTATCAGGCAGAATAAGGACAGCCACTTGAGACAAATGCCAGCAGATCAATTAATCAAATTATTTTTAGAGACAAATAACGATGATTGGCTTCCGTTGGCTACGTATGGGGCGCTTTTGCAACAAGTCGCTGTAACTGTCATTGAGAACAAGATCATGATCTACCATATGAATGAGATACTTGAGTTGCCTGTGTTACAGCTATCAACGATAGAGATTTTAGTAAAAGCGTTCAAGAAGCAAACGTTGGAGCTCGGACTTAATTATTCTGCCGTGTATGAAGCTGATTGAGGGTGGGTGATGCGTGTATTTCAACACCTAAATATGTTCTCTCGTCAGTTTGCAGGTTGAAAGAGCAAAAGAGCTTTGATCAATGAAGCATTTGACATGGAAGTTTTTGCTAAATTATATTCACATTTTTTACAATAAAAAGGATTGTTCTTCCACATTTCGTTCTGTAAAAGTACAAAAAAATCTAGTAGAAATAGTTTCTATTACGTTTTGAAAATAAAACTTAGAGAAGTTTTATTTCAATACTCTTGATCAGCTCTTGCTGAGACAGTAAATTTAATTGTAACATTTTTTATATTCCTTTTTCTGAAAGAAAGGGTTATACAGGGTTTAAATGCTGTGCTAAAAAGCTTAAAGTTTGTCTGTCTGTCTGTCCTATCCAATCAAAAATTAGCATTTCTAAAATTAATGAAATTGATCGATGGTTGTTAGGAAGTGATTACTGGTCGGGTAATCGGGGTCGAGGATGTCGAATCTGAGCTTAGTTGTTTCTTATGCACCAAGCTTAGACTTCTTCATTTCTTGTTTCAAAAGAGATATTTTTCTGTGTGTTTTACAAATTCTGTTGTAGAAGGTAGTTGTTTGAAAACTATTCCCGGATGTGATATGTAGAAAGACCAGAGGTAGGACGCAAGTACATGTACTTGTACTTTTTGTACTTTTCAAGTACAACGTAGAAATACTTGTACTTAGCTCAGAGTACTTGTACTTGTACTTGTACTTGCCAGAAAATACTTGTACTTGTACTTGACCTTGCTCTGATCGAAACTTCATATTACGTATACCAATTAAAGCGCACTTGCACTTCCTTTTGACTATAATGTACTAAAAAAACTTTTGAAGAGGTCTAAGCATAGTAAAATAAAAATTCAAGGCTAGAAGGGCGATTCATGTGTCTTTGACTTTTTATGCCGATTTGAGAACTACCTATGATTCAATATCGAGAGCTTAAATTTTAGAAACAAGAGAATTTCGATATTTTCATTCATTCTAGATTATAAATTACGAGTTAACAGAAATATACAATGTCGTAAAAGAGTGATCGAAAAGGAAACTACAAAAATATATCTTCTTGAATATACAGAGAAACTACAAAAGAGAAGATTCGAAAACTATCTACAGCAGGTTCTGGTTAACTCGTAGAAATACTAAAGACTGAAAGAGTTCATCTCCCATCGATGTTCTTCTAGGTGACATGACGATTCCGGACTGACTAAAGGCACGCTCGATGGGAGCAGATGATGCTTGGACGGAAAAAACCCTCTTGACAATGTTCGATAGTAAAGATGGGACACTAGTTTTCCATGATAAAAGGGACTTATTGCGAGAGGTTTCGCTGATATATTTTGTCAATTTATCTGCTGGACTGGCTTCTGTATGTGATGAAACGGATCCTTCATTATCATCATATTCAAACAACTTTCGTTTTTTAACGTTTACAGCGGACTGTCCTGAGTTCTCATCGCCACTCAAGAAAGTATGCTGTGATGATGACTGGTCCATCTGTTGAGCACGATTCCGTTCACTTTCACATTCATCTAGTACTAAATTTATCATTGCATGCTTTAGTTTAGATTCCATTGATGCAGTATAATCCATCAAGTACATCCAATGAAACTTAAATTTTGGGTCTAATAAGGTTGCAACAAAATATAACGGATCATTGAACGGATCGCTATCAAGGACTTGTTGGAGAGATAGTCGCTTCACAATTCCAGCGAAGCGAGTATTCATTGACTGTTCCAACTGAGTTATCAACGTTTTCAATAATGACACTTTGCCTTTCATTTGTTTCAAATGATGTATTATATGCACAACTGCGGGTACAACCATACTGACCGTAGTTGTAGTTTCAGATTGACAAGCAGTTCTTATATCGGCAAACGGCTCAAGCACATCAACAGCCTCCTCGAGTATGGTGAAATCTGTATTGTTAAAGCTGAGCGTGTCATCATCGATAGTATTAGTAATATCTTCAACAGTTTTTTTTCCCAATCGAAGAATTGACTGAATAAGAAAATATTCAGAACACCATCGTGTTTTATTCGATCGACTTATCCGTTTATCGACATCCTCCAAGAGATCAGTAACTTTCGATGACTTATGAGACTTTTTTGAAAGCTGTTTGCATTTCGACAAAGTTTTAGAGAGATATGGTATCTTGTTCAACCCATCTCGAATTCCTAACTGTAGACTGTGTGCGAAGCAAGAGAGTCGCACGTTTGTCTCGTCAGCTCCATTTGATCTGTCAACTTTGTCATCAATAGGATCAAGGAGTGTCCATTCCGTTTCAGAATCAGATTCATCGATACTATCGCGTTCTGAAACGTTTTCGGAAGCATCACTGGCCTGAGAGAGATCTTCTAGATCGTTCTCGTCATTAACTGTCAGTCCGAATTTATATGCCTTAACCATATTTGGTGCGTTGTCCGTGATTATTCGATAGATTTTTCCACTGATTCCCAGTTCCTCTAGAATATCTTTTGTGATATTTCGAATGTTCTCAGCTGTATGTGATCCTTTCAGTCGCACAAATTTCAATAAAACGGCATGTGAATTGAAATCAACATCGATAAAATGCCCAGTAATTCCTAAGAACGCTTTTGCTCTTCGGTCACTCCAAATATCGATGGTCACTGAAAGGTGATCGATTTCATTGAGCATTGCATCAACCTTCCCTTTGACGGAAGCATACAAAGATGGAATTATCTGAACTTTCATGAAACGTGCTGAACATGGTTTCCATTTATGCGCGACCACATTCATGAATCTTCGAAAACCACCGTGTTCAATCATGGAAGGAGGCAAGTTACATTTCACTATTAAATTTGTGGCTATTGATTCATTGATTTTTGCATCATAATCAGTACTTTGATACTCAATATTCTCCTGTCCCCCATTATCTGAGCCAATAGCATTGCGACCACGGCTGTGCATATATTCTTCCTTATGCCGTCGATCCAGATGTTTATGAAAATTTCCAGTTGAACCAACTTTATCGGTATACTTGCGACTACAGCGCTTACAATGGCCCGTTACTTTACTGTCCTTCGGTGGGTCAAAATTAAAAAACTGTTTCAGAAATTCCATAACACGCTAAGAAAATGAGTGAACTGCTTTATGCACACAAATATTCTCGATTCTTATATTGAAGGCAACTGTTCACTACTGCGATTTGCAACTAAATGAAAACAAAACCAGAGATCGACAGTATATATACTGTCCGCCGTGGCAATTTGTGATTCGCCGATAGTAATAGACCAATGAGAACTCAGCGAACCAATCGAATGCCCCATCAGAGTAAGGACATACAAAAATGAACCAATAACATTTCACGATCCATTTGGTCATTTTCTTCCCTGTTCTCAAGAAAAATGCATTGGTTACCTGCACCAATCCTGTAGTAATCGGGTACGTTCTTTCATTCTAGGACAGGTAACCACACCCTATAAGGCCCCCATGGTCGATTTCCAGCGAAATTAAGTTTTTGAAAAAAAATCGCGGTGATCGCTGATTGGTGGAAATCGACCAATCAGAATTCGAGGTCGAAAAAACATCTTTATATAAGGCCCCCATGGTCGATTTCCAGCGAAATTAAGTTTTTGAAAAAAAAACGCGGTGATCGCTGATTGGTGGAAATTGACCAATCAGAATTCGCGGGAATGCACCTTGGAATAAAGGCTTTTTCCAAGACTGGTTCCCACGGTAGCATTAACCTTACAGAGATGAGTATCTTACCAGGGTACATGTAATTATTACTGGGTCGTATAGATAATTAGTTGTCAGAAAGGATCATAGATTATGATTATTTAACCGTTTATGAGTTAATTCAGTAGAAATTAACGGTTAAGTGCAACCCGTTAACGGTTTACGTTAACGTTAATATTAAAAATTAACGGGCTCCGTTAATTAAGTAGAAATAAATTAAATGGTCTCCCCTACTCTACTAGAAGTACAAGTACAAGTATTTTCTGGCAAGTACAAGTACAAGTACAGGTACATCCATGCACGTACAAGTACTTGTACGTGTACTTTGTGTACGTGTACTTGTCCTACCTCTGTAACGAGTTGTATGCAAAAAGCTTTTTTCTCGAAATTTCGCCAACTTGATAGGAGACCGGGACGTATCAAATAGCGTAGAAACGTAGAGCGAAGCACGTTCTATCGAATGGTAAAAAAAGACAATTTTCGAGACCATTGCTTAATGGAAAAATATACCTCCCTCACTATTTGATGGCCCTAAATAGTTAACGAGAATTTTCATAAAAGGCTGACCATGATATTCATAGCACCGTGTAACATTTGGTGCTACTAGTAACGGTTTTGGCGCATATCTATTTTAATCTTTGCTTGAAGTCATAATTGTTAGCTTCATATATGCGGAATGAAAGAGGCATGTCGGAAAGAGAACGAAAGGAAGAAAAATGCAGAAAAAGATAATTTTCGTGCGACTCGAGCCCATACTTTCTGTAGTTTGGCCAGATGTCCTGCGCTAGCTACGCTAGTAGGATCAACTGGATGTCAGTTTGTATTCGAGTGATTCCACACTAAAGCTAACAAATAACTTCTCCGACCAGAGCTCAAAGACTGATGAGGCCAAATATCCTAAACAGCTGTTCGTTTATGTTTAATTAATATTAGGTCCAACTCGCACCGATATGAATGGTCATTTTGAAAAGTTTGCTTCGGTCGAAACTGGCGCAGAACCAATTGTCTACTTTGCGACTTCAAGCTTCAATGCAGGTGATATTCCCAATGGATGTTTTGAGGACAATGCATAAAGAATGTCCCGGTAGAGAGGGTATAGACAGTGCTACGTCTTAAATCCAGTTCCGAAAATTATTTATGGGACAAAAAAAAATGCGGAAATTTTGGATTTTATCCGAAGGTTAGATGTACTACAGAAAGTGTATCCGCTGCAAGAGAGAAGAGGTCACAGACAAATATCAATAGTTTTACAATAACTCGAGAGTCAGATGCTCAGTTGACCTCATCCTTGAATTCCAGCAAAATTCTAATGTAACAAAACACCTTTGCAAATTTTATCACAATCAAATTAGCCTTTCAGCAGCTATCGTGTAGACCATCGGTGGAGAGTACATTTATTACACTGAAAAAAATTTCCGATGAGTGATGAACGCTCAAAAAGGGTTTATAACCGAAAAATTCATTTATCAACTTGCTCTATCCGCTGATAAACCCTTTTTTCTTGGAAAGCTCTCGATGGATTTGTCATACGTTGCAAACTGATAAACCCAAGGATCGATTCTACCTTGGCGAACCATTTTTCCATTGATAAACTGGATCAACCTCAAATAGAGAGTTTATCGTCACGTGTAAGAAACCCACGTTGTAAGGGTAGATCCCGCTTATCGATGGAAAAAAGGTACTTGTAATTTATGCAACCAGCACAACCACCGAACTTTCTGAAATATCATATCGACGTCTCCCACAACCACCCACAGCTTGATGATTTATGTTCAGAATCGGCCGCACTCATCCACTTTATACGAGATTTAACGAATATAAATGTTCAACAAACAGAAAAAAATTACCTCTTCAACACAACCACCTGAAATCTGTCTTGAAGTCTTCACAAGCATCGTTGTAGGTGCCCGCAACCATCCACAGAATTACATAATCTACATTTTTGAAAAACAAAGCAAGGTGCTTACGTCAAGTTTTTCTATAAGAAATCTTTCTGGAAACGTACGAAATCGGTTCAGATGGCTGTTGATGACTGTTTTCCTCTCTCTTCCTTTTGTCTTTCTGTTTCTCTATGCGCACGTGGTTTGGTGTACTGGCGACTATTACGTATATATGTTTAGTACATATATATAGGTTGTTGTTCTCTGTCGTCGGGTGGACACTCTCTTTCTCTTCGTGCTTTCGTCACGTCTTCTTGTTTCTCTCTCTCGTTGTGTTGTGATCATTCTTGATTCAATAAAGATATTGAATCTACATTCTTCTTTGCTTCACGAACACCAACAATTGGCGACGAGGTATCTCTCTTCTACTTCTTCGACTCACGGTCTTCTTGCTGCGATCTATTCAAATCGTTTTGCTTGTCTCCTGCTCCCTTGGTTATCTTCTTCGACCTATTTCAATCTCACTCGGTGTTATGTCCACTGCTGACAAATCGAAGTCTACGAAGATATTGTCTTCAATTCCCTCTTTACACGCATTCGATCCTGATACTACTACGTGGTCTTCATATCGTGATCGCATGACATTTTACTTTCAAGCGAACAATGTTACTCTTGATCCTGATCGTAAACCGTTATTCTTATGGTCCATTGGGAATCATGTTTACACCTTGTTAGAGTCTCTTGTTGCTCCTCGACTGCTCACCGAACCTGAACTTACATATACACATTTAATCGAAATTTTGAATAAACACTATGATGATACAAAAAACATCATGACTTCTACATACAACTTCTTTAGTTGCTATCAGAAAAGTGGTCAAAGTTTCACGGAATGGAAAGCCGAACTTTATGAGAAGGCTCGACGTTGTGGATTCACCACGTCTTGCTTAGCTACTAAACCAATCGATCGTGCCGTTCGAGATATGTACGTCATTGGTATCAAAAGTCAGAAAGTTCGTCAAGCGCTGTTAAAAGAAGAAGATCCGACGTTAGAAACCGCTGAAAAGCTTATCTTAGCAGCTGAGCGTTTGGAACAAGATGTTCGTCATTTTGGCCATCCATTAAAAGCAAATGATTGTTCTGTCGATAAAATTCAGAATCAGTCGTCTGATCGCACTCATCGTATACACAATCATTTCCGTAAATCTCATGTTTCGAAACACTACAATCGCCACGATCCACGTTCTAGATCGAAATCACTTTCTACAGATACAGCTCGTACGTTCAACCCATGTGAAACATGTGGTTCAAATAAACACATGCGTTCGTCTTGTAAATTCCGAGACTACATTTGCAACTATTGCACAAAAAAAGGACACCTAGAAAAGGTTTGTCGACAAAAGAAAACTGAACAATTGTCCACGAAACATATTACGTCTGTTGCCAAACTGAATGCATTAAATTCGAGTACTTCTACAAGTCGATCGTTCGATTCCTCATCCATGCTTGGATTAGACGTTAATGGCAGTATCATTACATTTGAGATCGATACAGGATCATCTCATGCATTTATTAGTAAATCTGATTGGCTTCGCATTCATTCACCTACTCTTTCTCCTTCACCGTTACGCTTGAAATGCTACAGTGATACGTATCTTGCGATTATAGGCGAATGTTCTGTCTCCGTTACGTACGATAATCAGGTTTATCGTCTGAAGTTAATCATTGTGCAAGACGCACATCCTCCTCTTCTCGGTTTACAGTGGATTCGATCGTTACAGCTCGATTTAAATCGGCTTATTCATCAGCCTGTACCGGACGCACACAGTCATATTGTTCGTTCACCTGAACTCGATAATATTCTTCAGAAGTATCGTCATGTGTTAAATCATGAATTAGGTCATTGTACGAAGATGAAGGCTCATATCGAATTGACACTCAATGTTAGTCCCAAGTTTTACAAACCACGGCCTTTTCCGTTTGCTTACCTCGATCGTATCAAAGAGGAAATTACACGGAAAGTTACCGCAGGCATCCTCGAACGTGTTGACAGTTCATTGTGGGCCGCACCAATCGTTCCTGTACAAAAACCAAATGGAGCCATTCGTATCTGTGGTGATTTTAAGGTTACTATCAACCCGCATACCATCGTTGATCAGCATCCCATTCCGTCCATTGACGAACTTCTTTCTCGATTACGACATGGTTAACACTTTACTAAATTGGATCTCTCTGACGCATATTTACAAGTAGAACTTGATGAATCTAGCAAAGATTTGGTTCTTATCAATACACCACTTGGTCTTTATAAGTACAATCGTATGCCTTTTGGTATCTCTGGAGCACCAGCTATCTTCCAACGATTGATCGACCAAGTTATTCTAGATATCCCACACTGTGTTGCATATCTTGACGATTTGTTAATTACCGGTCCTACTGAGGCTACACATCTTCATACATTGGATCAAGTTTTAAACAAACTTGCTGATTACGGATTCACCTGCAATCCCGCTAAATGTGTCTTCTTTCAAGATTCGGTGTCATATTTAGGTTTCCGTATCGATAAACACGGCAAAACTCCTGATCCAACTCGCGTTGATGCCATTACCCGTATGCCTCCACCAAAAAATGTGAAAGAATTAGAAGCGTTTGTTGGTAAAATAAATTATTATCGACAATTCATCTCAAATTTCTCTGCAAAATGCAAAGTTTTTAATTTACTTCGCAAGAAAAATGCTCGTTGGAATTGGACCATGGAATGCCAAACCGCATTTACAAATCTCTTAGATGAAATTTCTACCGCAACAACTTTAGTTCATTTCGATGATCAGTTACCGATTATTCTCGCTACTGATGCCTCCGATTACGGTATTGGCGCTGTTATTATGCATCGATATCCACATGGTTTAGAAAAGCCGATTGCTTTTGCTTCGAAAACCCTCACCGATGTAGAAACGAAGTATAGTCAAATTGAAAAAGAAGGTTTATCCATTATATTTGGTGTTAAAAAATTTCATCAGTATCTCGCCGGTCGTTCATTCGAATTAGTCACCGACCATCGACCTCTCTTATCGATTTTCAATCCTGCTAAAGGTATTCCAACCACCACGGCCAATCGCTTACAGCGTTGGGCGTTATTTCTGATGGGTTACAATTATGTTATTCATTTCAAACCAACTGCACATCATGCTAATGCCGATGCACTTTCCCGTTTGCCCATTCCCGATGATCATTCATTCGTTGACACTGATTCTTTACAGGTTAATTTTCTTCACCATGAAACTAGTGAAGCTTGGCTTCTGACACCTTCAAGCATAGCCAATGCTACTTCTACTGATTCCATTCTCAAACATGTCAAACAATTCATTCAATCATCATGGCCTTCTTCGTTCTCCAAAAAACGAAATCCTGAACTAGTGCCGTACTTTACAAATCGTGTTTCGCTGTCGATGATGAATGATTGTATCATGAAACAGAATCAAGTTGTGATTCCTTCTCAATTACAGAAACAAGTTCTTCGTTTACTGCATAAAGATCATCTGGGCATTGTTAAAATGAAACAAGTAGCTCGCGAATACTGCTGGTGGCCTTCGATTAACCTCGATATTAAACAACTTACTCAATCATGTGATGTATGTCGCAGATTTCAAACCCTCCCAAGACCACAATTTCAGCCTTGGGATGAACCTCACGCGAATTGGTCTCGCATTCATGTCGATTTCGCTGGTCCCTTTTGGAATTCAAAATGGCTCGTCATTGTCGATGCCAAATCCAAATATCCGTTTGTAATTGACATGCAGCATGATACTACCGCCAGTCACTTGATACACGCACTTGAACAAGTGTTCGATTTCGTCGGTCCGCCAGCGACTTTGGTTTCTGATAACGGTCCACCGTTTACCAGTTTTCAAATGTCAAAATTTTACGAGAAATATGGTATTTCTCACACTACTACTGCTCCATATCATCCGGTCAGCAACGGTTTAGCCGAACGCTTTGTTCGAAGTTTCAAGGACGGTATGTTAAAACAACAAAATTCGGGTTGTTCGAACAAATTTCTCGCTTTACGCAATGTATTACGTTCCTATCGTTGGTCTCCACACACTTCCACCAATTCATCTCCAGCAAATTTATTCTTTCAACATTCGATTCGTACGGCGTTTGATGTGATGAAGCCCGTTTCGTCAGAAAACTCGTCTTCATCCGAACCGAAATTCTCTCCTGGTCAATTGGTGTGGACAGTAACATATCAACAGCATCGTCGTTCACAATGGAACACTGCAATTGTTGTTAAACCTGTTGGTTCGATGTTATATCATGTTCGACTATCCAATGGTGACATATGCAAACGTCATCAGAACCAACTACGCTTATATTATTCTTCTGACAAGGTTCCTTCCACTTCTAGTCTAATTAGTGATTTAGCGTTGCCTGCATCGCAGACTCCGTCATTGGCATCTGATCGTTCGCCATCTTCTACATCACATTATCCTCAACGCATCCGGCGTCCGCCTGATCGATATTCACCGTCATAGTGATTTTAAGAGGGAAGGTGTTGATGACTGTTTTCCTCTCTCTTTCTTTTGTCTTTCTATTTCTCTATGCGCACGTGGTTTGGTGTACTGGCGACTATTACGTATATATGTTTAGTACATATATATAGGTTGTTGTTCTCTGTCGTCGGGTGAACACTTTCTCTCTCTTCGTGCTTTCGTCACGTCTTCTTGTTTTTCTCTCTCGTTGTGTTGTGATCATTCTTGATTCAATAAAGATATTGAATCTACATTCTTCTTTGCTTCACGAACACCAACAATGGCTATCTTCGTAAGCACAACCAGCCAAAATCTTTATTATAGTCTTCATAAACGTCATTGTGAGTCCCCACAACCACCCACAGAAAGATCTGATCTATCAATCTGTCTATAATTAAATAAGTTTTACAAAGATATAAATCTCAAAAATATCTCTTTCTGAAATTGAAAAACTCAGGAAATTTCAATGTTTATGAAAAAGAGGAACATCAGTATTTTTACAATAACTCAAGAGTGGAAAAAGATAGAGATGTGCGGTTTTCACTATTATACTCGGAGTAATGTTGCACGATATGCCATATAAACTTTGTCTGATTCCACAGGGAATTCAGTTGATCGTTCTTTAGCATCATCAGGTGAAACACAATTTCTAAAAGCAGTCCTGCAAGAACTACACATTTGTATTTACTTATTGAACATAGTTAAGTGTCCTGTTTTGATCTATATTAACTGATCCTCTTTATCACACTCCGCCTATAACGTATCTATCTATTAAAAGATCTTACTCTGAGCGAATACGCACAGCAGTAGCCTGTTATAAAAATTCCTTTTATTGATTAGTCTAGGCTCCAGAACGTANTGTACTTGTCCTTGCTCTGACCCCCATGGTCGATTTCCAGCGAAATTAAGTTTTTGAAAAAAAAATCGCGGTCATCGCTGATTGGTGGAAATTGACCAATCAGAATTCGCGGTCAAAAAAACATCTTTATATAAGGCCCCCCTAGTCGATTTCCAGCGAAATTAAGTTTTTGAAAAAAAATCGCGGTCATCGCTGATTGGTGGAAATTGACCAATCAGAATTCGCGGGAATGCACCTTGGAATAAAGGCTATTTCCAAGACTGGTTCCCGCGGTAGCTTAAGCTGAGAGATGAGTATCTTACCAGGGTACATGTAATTATTACTGGGTCGTATAGATAATTAGTTGTCAGAAAGGATCATAGATTATGATTATTTAACCGTTTATGAGTTAATTCAGTAGAAATTAACGGTTAAGTGCAACCGGTTAACGGTTTACGTTAACGTTAATATTAACAATTAACGGGCTCCGTTAATTAAGTAGAAATAAATTAAATGGTCCACCCCTACTCTACTAGAAGTGCGAGTCCAAGTGCAAGTATTTTCTGGCAAGTACAAGTACAAGTACAGGTATATCCATGCACGTACAAGTACTTGTACGTGTACTTTGTGTACGTGTACTTGTCCTACCTCTGAGAAAGACAGTAGTTTAACCCTTTCCAACCGGGTGTATCCATATGGATACATTTTGCCGTAGAGGAGGGGTACGGTATTCTTTGAATAGCCGGCCGGAAAGGGTTAAGAAATTAGCAGAAGTAGTTTGCGTCTAATATGATGACTGCGTTGTTTGTTAGGATACGTCAGGTCTTTCGACAGGATTTTAGCCAATATACATCGCAAAAAGGTATAACGGCTAGCCGTGAGTGACCGATCGGAGAGAGGTCGACGAACGACTAGGCGTTCCTTGTGAAATTTATTCGAAAGATGAGATTTATAAGAGCTGCAACTGGTGCCAATGTTGTTTTTTGAAGAAACATGATTGATATCTCTTCGAGCTTCGAGAATAAGCTCTGCGGATTATCAGCTTCCTAACTTGAAGAGAACAATAAAATATGTACTGTAAATCACACAGTTTTGACGAATTTTGATCATTTCGATTAAAAACCGACTCAGTATGAACAAGATGCTTTTGTATATGAAAACATCGCGACAAATAATCGAATGAGTGGACTATTCAAATGAAATAATTTCTATTTCTTTCTTTTGAGGAATAAAAAGATCTGATGATATTGTTTCAGAAATGGGCCGGCGGTTACTGCGCCTCGTTACTTATTTAACTTAGTTGAGTGTACAGTAAAAAGGAACTGCAATATCTTTTACATTTCCAGTTACGTCGATCTTCCTGACTTAGACTAATTCTCGTATCTATGATTTATTGTAGGTCTCTTGTCGTCCGGTCATTTTTCGTAGACGTCTTGGATAATCTGAGAGACAACTCACACACTTTCTCTGGATGAGGATAAAAATGAATTATATGTCGAAGGTACGCATAGACCGGGTTCAGTCTGAGCTAACGATGAGAGCCAGATTCACCAACGGTTAGACATTTATATAAACAGTTAGGTTGAAGATGAGAATTGAAAGAACTAAATAATTTCAATGATTTATAAAGAAACTTGGTTGATATCGTTTGAAGAACGAAATGACTCGATTATTCGTTAGTAAAAATGGAAAGAAGAATAAAATGTGTGCTTCAGATTACACTATCCGATGAAGTCCCACTATCTCTGATGAGAAACCGGCCGATTATGAACAGATTAACTTTTTGCAGTGGAAATAGCAAACTGATTGTATATGCGTTAGAATTCCAGATTCACCGTAGAGTATACGTGTGGGGCAACCTTATCAAGAATCAATTGTTAGCTGTGAAACACAGCTAACATTGGACAACTAATTACTCACTGATAAATGCCTAATTGGTTCGTTTCATGAAAAAAGAACAATTTCTGCTTTCGATTTACTCTAATGCGTGACGCAGTGTCATGATTCAGCTGAGAACTAGTGACAATCGCAGTGTCTGATGTGTTTTTCAAACCGTTTGAACATGTTCAGCAGCAGAAGAATTCTTTCAGAAAACGGTCGGCGAATCCGAAGGATGAACGTTACTTGTAATTTATTCGAAAATTTTCGGGATTTATTGATGAAATTTCTAATGAACGTTCAAATATTTTTAATTGATTTTGATCATTAAAAATATTTTCTAAGGGATTATTTTCGTTATTCCATCGTTTTGTAAATTTTTTATCTTCTTTTATTATCAATCTATGAAGATTAGGAAACTATTTTCTATTGAAAACAATTTTGACTTGTTCTTTAGCTAAGCCATATAATGACGATACAATGATAGATTTTAAACCTGGAAAACAAATTGAAGATGATGATAAATGAATTGTATTTATATATAAAGATTGAACATATAATGTAACAGATGGAAGAAGATTTTTCCAAATTATTGGTAATTCTATAGAGATAAAATAACATTGATTTTGTAGGATTAAATTATGTAATCGTCTATTTAAATCAAAGAAAGTATAGATAATATCATTATTTGAAAAATATTTAAATATTATATTATGAAGATAATTTCAGTTGGTAAACGATCGAATCTTGTCGATAATTCAGACATGCGTTTTGTTATCTCATATATAGGAGAGATGTCTATGGTGACTAAAATCATCGAAAAAAGAATTATATGTAGGCTTAGCCTTCCCTTTCCTTTGGTTCTGACATGCACATATATATCAGTCAAGAGAACAAAGTACTAGTTAGTCATATTTCAAGAAAAATGCATGTATTTTGAAAATAATGATCACAAATACAGAAATTGAGGCAAAAGAAAATAATCCTAAGAATGACCAGATAGTTTTTTAGCTTTCGTAACTGTTTGATCCATTGCTTTGAGAACTATTGCTTGTGGTGCATTCCAAGGAATTCGTTCACCCTTCTTATTTTCATTATAATATTCAAAGACTTGTTCATCTTTGTGAAATTTGTTGACATGCACTTCATCAGCATCGATAACAAAAAATTTAATTTCACCTTTTTCTTTGTCCAGATAAATATCTTCATTGAGTTGTTTATTACCTGCTTTCATTTCTCGATAGACGTGCGTTGGTGAACGATCAATTGTTTTGACATCCGTAACAGGAAGATAATCACTTGTATTGTAAACTTTATCGACCATAGCAGCCCAAATAGAATCATAAGGTAAAGATACAGTATATGGTGATCGATAACCCATACCAACGAGATTCTCATTTGAGGTAGCCATATTTATGCGACTTGAAACGTACGATGGTTTTTTTTCTTACCACATCGGCGAATCAATGTATTTATTCATTTTTTTTGTATCGTCAGCATGACACAAAAATTGCGTTTTACTAATATGATTCATTCTTTTTTTCTGCATCGTCATTATTCAGTTTACCTTTTGACCTTGAAGGTGTGGGTGAGTATGGTTGTGATATATATATAGAGAATGATACGACTATAGTTTCGACCTTTCTCAAGGATCTTTATCATCAGGCAGCTTTACTAGTCTTTGCATAGAACGTCAATGCTAATATCGATAGTCCAAAATATGAACCTCCAGACAGTCAGAATTAAAAGTTACTTCAAAGCAAAGTGATCTATTTTTCACAAGGGTTTGTTTATAAGAAAAGAAATAATTTAAAACAATCATACGATCGTGATGTCGACATGCTGTAGATAGTGCGTATCGCAGAATGAAGAGATGATGATTGAATATGGTTTTTGGATAATAATGATGTGATGGCGTTATTTTATATGTGTCTAATTGGTTGAATGTTGAGTGCTGCTGTGTTCATCTAGAAAGAACAGTTAGATGAACTAACGGTGAAGTGAAAATTTTTACAGTAGAGAGAAAAATTAGTTTTATACGAAAAAGTGTAGGTATATGAATATATAATATGTTTGCGAATGTTATTTATCTTTTGAAAGAGAAAGAAAAGTGGTGAATCAATATGGATAGTAGACGTCAGATAGGAATGGGTTCAATTCTGGAAAGTACCTCTTTTGAAGATTTGTTTTGAATGAGCCATTGTTTGATGGTTCGATTTGTTTTTCCAATCATACGAATGCGAACGTGATCTATGTCTTCAGTTTAATTTTTGAAATATTTTCCTCACCATTGGTAAAATTGTTTTCGTAAACGGCGTGTAGATCCTCTGTCATAGTTATACCGTAGATACATAATTGATTTATCCCAAGGTCTTGTTTGTAAAACTGTAGGTTGCCGAATTGGATCTTGTACCTGAATGTGCAGTTCTTGTTCGCGTCGTATTGATCGTCGGAAGAGCATTGTGGTTTTGAAATAATTTTTGAAAACAGCAGATAATAAATCTCGGTGGGTAATGGTTTAATAATAAAGACATGTCAATACGAATACGTTCTGTATTAAAATCTTCGACATGATTCTCTATTCGCTGAGAAGATTTGTATTGTTTCGTGGAACGTGAGTAAACAGTTTAGGTGTATATTCGAACTAGATTAAAGGATATACAACCCTAACAGAGACCATGAAAATCAAACGGGATGTAAAACGAGTTGGGAAGGGATTGTTATTCTTATACATGAAACACACCAATACAAACATTAAGTCAAGGAGTATCTTGCGATAAAGGCTCTCGAACCTGTGCTCAATCATATCGGACATTCAGTTCCTCTATTACTCTTTTCAGGGGGAACACAAGATAATCAAACAACACATCAATGTTTATAAAGTAAGCAGGAGACATACAACTAGCCCCAACTTCATTATTATTTTCTTTTCATAGTGAAGTGGAAATGCTTTCAGTAAAGAACATGGTGTAGGTCGTGGCATTCTGACAACGTCATCGAAGATGACGAAACATCGAAAAATTCAGAAAAATCAAAATTTGCCCTTTTTTCACTTAAAATTCGTTTTTTATTCGATAAACGATCTGATTATATCCTTTTAGTAGAGCATCAGTAGCAATTTCGCCACATTACTTGCTATTATTATAGTTGGTGAGAAAATGAGCTAGTTTTATTGATACAATACCCGACCGGTTTTTGGAATATGTAATTACAGTCCAAGCGTGCTCTGATTTTACGATATTTTTAGAACTAATTTTTCGTATTTATTAAAGCATATCCTCGCTGATACTTGAAGATGAATTCGGATGGTTAGTTTCGTGGATAAATGAACAGATTTCTAGTTTAAGTTTCTTTTTGATCCTATGTTCAAACTCACTCTCAAACAGAACTATTTCTTTATATTTTAAACAACAAATTTGTTTTTGTTATTATAAAACAGAGCAGAAAAAGTCTGCACTGATGAGTTTACTTTCTTTCTCTCTCTATATATACATTAACAGTATTTGATTGTTTGTCATTATTTATTCGTTGACACATATGTCCTTATAAAACATTAATATATCAAAACAGTAAGCGTTTGAAACGAGATAAATCATTCCATAGATATAATCTGAACATAAAATGTTTGCAGCAAAAGTCGAGCACATGATTTTTTGGTTGCTAGTCAACATTGATGAAAACAGTAGCAGCTTATTAATTTTACTGCGTATGCACTGAGGAGAAAAGAAAAACAAAAAATTTAAGAAAAAGCACTTATATGTCCAAGGTTATTTTTTTGTCCCTCTTTTTCTCTTGATGCTGATCATTATTGAATTGCACTCAAATCATTCTCCGATGTTCACCAAAATATTGCCGATCCGGCAACACCGACTAGATGACATTTATAAGTAGACAGAAATATGCACGTATGTCTTCGCATCCTTTTTTTCAACATTTAACTATCTTGCATATATTTGTCTGTATATAACGATCCGAACGTAGTACAATTTGTACTCATTCACAAATAAACATATCGTTTTAATCATCCTTAATCAATGATTGTGCTAATGTCTGGAGTAAAATAATGGTCATCATCCTTGAAAGGGAGATTGTAAAGATTATTTTCTTTCGTATAAATAAGGATTCTTCTTGGTTCATTTCGACGTCCAAAAAATCTTTAACATTCTGTTTGTTAATTATTTTATATGTTCTAGATGATTTTATATTAAAGATACCTTTTAATCTAGTCTATTGCGCTTCAAGAATGGCCTGGTCGTACTGGAATTGGATCATAGTGAATGTCCTCATTGGCCTTGGCGTAGTTATATTGACGTATACGGTACTAGGTATTTTATTATGGTCGTTTGAGCAAGTATTCTACAGTATAGTTGCTAAACTTTTTAATATTACACGCTGTACTATTGATGTTAATCATACTGTTATTCGAGAGAATACTGCAATATTTACTTCACATAAACATTCGACGAACACTGGTCGTCTCTCCTCAAAAGTTACATCCTGTTGTAGGAACGATAGAAGTAGAACCACTTTGACAAGCGGTAATTGTTTTTCAAGACTTTGCAGTTGTGTGACACAAATAGCGCCGTATATTGAGAGAGATCGTTTAAGTGAGGCTGCTTCAGATACTATAAGAGTAGTACCGATAGAACTTATACATAATAAGACAGCTCAAAAAGAATTCATTCAAATATCTTCCATCGCTCGCGAAGTGGCATCAGCAAGCAATATCTCGCAACATTCTTCTCCTGCAGAGATGCATGCAAATAACAAGATAGTAACAAAACCTGTATCAGCTACAACTACGGACACATCACTAGAAATTTTACGAAATCATCCATCCCATCCAGAATATGAACGCGAAGTATTAAATATGTACGGCAGATACCTTACTTTGAACAAAAAGAGCAATAAATTCTTAATAATGACAATAAGTGTCATTGTCATTTCATCTATCATTATTGCTGGCATTGAAGGTTGTTTCCTGGCCAGTATTACTGTTTATCCAGATGGTTCATGTCCAATCTATGGTTTAATGGAATGCTTTCATGGTTCAAATTTTACCTATTTTCCATGTACACCTGGTAATACAATTAATTTTACATTATATTCCAATAGTGCGACATGTTTTCGTTGGATTGCTCGTGATGCATCGATATCGAATATTGTAACACAAATTGGTATTTGTACAGGATTGTTAACTGCTTTTGGATCTGTTGTTGAAGTCGGTATTAATCGAATTACTAAACCAACTCGTTGCTGTGGTATGAAACTACCATTTCAATTCGGTATTCTCGATCTACGTTTATATCAACGTCCTTGGCTTGTTGTCATATTTCTTATACTTTACATCTCACTTCCATTAGGTGTCCTTGGTTCAATCGTTCTTCTATCGTATTTTAGAATTAGTATAACGTCATTGACTTATATTATTCTTCTAACGATAGTATTAATATGTTGTCTTGCTCTGTTATGGATCATTTGGGAAGAAGATGAAATTGGAAGAGTAATACCAGGTGCCTGGCATGACTTTAAAGATATTGTCTCGAAACATCAGCTAGAAAAACTTGTTACGGTAGGTCAAGGCGTGGCTTGAGGAAGTGA